TGTGTTCATAAGTGTGATCTTTATATTGGACTCGTGTCTTTGGGCAGATATTCGACTTGTAAAATTTGATCAAATTCTGAAGCATCGTCGATCGATTTTGAATTTAGGTTTTCGTCACGAATCTTTAGGTGCTTTGCAAAATTGGACCTGCTTACACGAACCGCCTGGTAAAAGGTATGGTCAGTTCTTCGTGTCGCTAACCAGAGAATCGGAAACGGTGGAAATCGTTGTCGAATTAGGTCGATTCAGAACGAATGCGAGTTCAGTGGAAAAGTTCGAAATAAACGAATGAATGTCATGACTAGGGGTTCAGCATGTCGGTAACTTTCGTGTCGATACAAAAGAAGGGAAAGGAAAGTTAGTCAACGTTGGAATGTCGGGTCTTATGTCACTTTCATGATTGGGCGACATTTCGGCGCCCTTCTTTTCATGAAGTTGATAGTATGGTATTGATCGCTGTTTCTCTGCCATTAGTCAGGAGTGCAATATTTAAGGCAGAGTCTACAGCCGTGTGGAAAGCGTCGTATGTAGTCTCCTGTTTCCTTCTCGTGGTGTGGTGGCCATTTATGAACTTAAGAAGGAAGAAAGGCAAGTGGCCTTGATTGAGTCTGTAATGGGGACCTGTTGGTTCTGAATTCGACGCTCCACCGTCTGAGCAACCCCGATTTGAAGCAATATGTGGTAAATTCCTTTCTCAAATGAATTCTTGAATAGGACAAAGATTGCCGTCGCGCAAAATTAAAACCGATTTTCCGGAGTTCGAACCAAACCTCTTAGACAACTGTGCCGCGTCGATAATCATGTCTGGCGTGATCATGAATCACATGTCCTATTTAATTATTGAACTTCTAACCGGGGATGCGTCGATGCAGTGAAGGTGCTTACTTAAATACATTTGAGGCGTAGGGGCGTTAGTAAATGCCCCGCGGTCAGTTGAGAACCAGAAAGGAGGCAGTGGTGCGGTACGTTGTGAAATCTTATTTGGAGTTGTCGAGAAATTATTCGCTTGAACGGCTAAGTATAGATGCAAAAAGTGTTTTATCGGGGTTGTACCTTGTACTGATTATTAAAATGGACAATCAACCAGCTATCAAGTGGGTCAAGGCGAAGTATAGCCACAAGGAGGCGCCTGAATCGGACAGCATGGCATCGACACCTTGTACAGTCTGGTATGATCACAAATGAATACGACGCTGTCCTTCTTATTGGCAAGTCAGTGATCTAGTCACTTAAATTCTCCATTGGTTACAGAGAAACAACATGAGGTATAACTTCCTTGGTCAAGAAAAATGGCAGATCGAAAACAAAGATTCTCCCTTCATCAAGCGTCGAACCGATCGACTTCTTTGTTACAGAGTCATCACCTCACTTCCACCGCATTTCCTTGGTCTTGGAGTAAATCCAGAGATAACCAGCAGCGAAGTCGCCTTATTCCAAATTTCGCCTATTCCAGAGACTAGCTGACGATCGTGTATCCGCGTAATTATCGGTTATTGGCTCAGTGCCAGTTGTATCCATCGGATCATGCATCCGTATCGTATCGATCGATCGATCGATCGGTTAGTATGTCGGCTGTCTTCGACGTATGTCTTGGATAATGCGACAGCCAGCACGTTGTTACCATTCGATAAATAACGTTAGTCGGTAGCTAGTCGGTGGTCAGTTTCATACGGCTTCGGTCATCGATCGCCACTGCGTCTTGCCTCCCGTTGCTGTCTTCGTTTTCGTCTCCCGTCATCATCAGTCATGCGTGTCTTTCCGCCACCATGCCAAATGACCCATTTGTATTTCGACAGCGATGAGTCATCGTTGGATCTAAACGCAGTGGATGAACGTTGTCGTCGTCGGATGATGATGGATGATTCGATTCGTATTCCAATTGCAGACCGATCGATCGATCGATCGATCGATCGATATTCTCGTAGTACTCAATGAACTCGGTCGCCTACGTACGCGTCATTATTAATGAATTCGCGCGGCGGGGCGCGCCATAGTGTGTGAAAGAGACTTCGCGAAAAATTTGCATAGTGAGCTAACGGTGGGCCTTTCTTGTGTTGTTGTAGAACTTCTGTCACAAAATCGATTTTGTCACCCACTTGCCCGCCCAACTGACGGATCCCACAGCCGCAGACATGTCCACCGGAAGTAGGTGTTTTTTTTTTAATAAACTGACTGCTATGGGATAATTGGAACAGTGCCAGCTGACGCCGATTTTTGTTGCAGTGAATGTTTGTTGTCCGTCGGCATCGTCCCAGTCTCTTAACCAATCAGCAGCCCAGCTGCGACGTCATCCGCCTCCCGTTGTTTCCTCCGACTCGACTATGACCACCGTCCATTGGCGTGACCGAACGTCGGCCATCTCCGTCCCCGCCACACCGTCTTTCCCACTGATGGCTGCCGCCTCCGCCGCAAACTCCGGTCGGCTCGATCGCACTTGCAGCCCTATGAGCTCGATGACTTTCGCCGATGCCAACACGGTCGCTGATGCCCTTGGAGTATCGCCACTTTACCGCCAGAAAGAGTAAGTACTTCATTTACGCCTCCTCATATACGTTATGAGTACTTCATGAATGCTGAATAATACTGAAAGCTATGCTCCTCATCATTTCTCCAAAGCTGCTCTGTCGATTTCTAGAGTAATATTGAAAAGAGTGCACTATAGCTTCGAGGATATCACGAAACAGATGTATGAAAAATAATAGCTCTTGTTTAGTCAAAATATCGTGTTTCATAAAATCCTCTAAGTATGTCTTTCCATATTACTAAAAAAATGATGGAAAAACTCAAAATGTAAGTGTAACAATTAAAAGAAACTGTCTGTTGTGAAGTGTTGAGTTTTCTTCATTTTATGGACTAACAAGTATAGTTTGGCAAAAGTCTTCAGAGCGTAGAATCAGAATAAGCAAAACCTTTGATACCCGGTATTTGTTACTGTTCAGAGTGGTGGTACTTACACAAAGATAAAGAACTAGTGGTCCGTTGTTCAGTGCAAACCGGTAATGTTTCCCCGTGTCATTCTTAAGCATTCGTGCCAATGCATTTTCTCCTGTCGTTTAGATTTAGTTCTGTGCTTGTGTAGTAACACCATAAAATACAGAATTATCACTTTGAGTTGAACAAGAAATTGCTTTCAGCCCATTCGTGTATGGATCGATGGATTACGAAGTGCTGAGAGTAACAGATGCCACAACCTTTCTTGATTATGGCTTGTAGCACAGCACAGTTTATTAACGACATCTGTTACCATCATCGCACTACTGTACCTGCTTCGATTAATTTGCGACGACGTTTGAATGAGCATTAGATTTCGCTTCTACTCTCGCTACCACTCACCTGCTACAAGGCAACAATGGCGGCATTTCATTGCCTGTTTTTGATCACGTGACGGTCGTGAACTCGTTGTCAGCAGCTGGGCTTCATCGACGTTCATCGTCGTCGTTCGTTCTTTGACTCAAACTCAAACACAGTCACATGCATGTGCACGTGATCAAACACGTGCATTTCCATTGTCCTCGTCTTTATGGTGTCAGCGAATAAGCTGATGCTTAATTCGTTATAAGCACATTCTAATATAAAAAGATGAGAGCCCAGATTTTGCTAAGAGTCTGTGGTGGTGGTACGCGTAAATAAGCAAACTGGTAACTCAGAGGGTGACCAAATAAGTAAACAACTTAGCAAATAAATCAGTAAGTAAATAGCAGCCTAAGTAAATAAGCTTTACTAGTAAACAGTTTTTGAGATGCAACTAAAGTTGGCTCAATTTCTGCATTCGCTCAATTGGCAGTTCTTCCTCCTAGAAACTCATTTTTTCAAAATCAAATGTACAGAGAATCAGTGTGAATTTTAAAGTGGATAAAATTAAGTGTATATGTAAGCTAGCTCGAAAGTGAAAATATGAGTTATCAAGTAAGCAAGCGCATAAATAAGTTAGTTTCTTCTAAAATTCTGTCGTGATTGTATATGCTAGTGCCCAGAGTGGTATTTCGTCAATATCGGTAAGAACTGAAACTGATTTGCGGCTGAATTGTCACTGATAGTTAGACGACATGGTGTGGCAGTTGTTGACATTTCCACTTTCTTAGTTCCATGTTTGCTCAAGAAAAGTCTAACTAACTTAGTGTTCTATAATTTCTTTTTAATGACACCTTCATGCATCGAAGATATAATCGGAATACGAAAGCCAACAGTAAAGCCAAGTCCACCTACTGGGAGTAAAGCTGTCTCCTTATATCGCAAGAGTTTCCATGCAAACCCCAATTTGCGTTAGAGTTACGTTCCGTAAAGCTGTACCTAACACGAGTTTCGCGTTTCATCTACCCCGGTTGTTAATCACACTGTTGCTTACGTATTTACGGTACATGTATGCAGGAGTACATTAACATATTTTGAAAGTTAATTTTATTTATGTTTATTTGCAGGATGCACACCAATTGATTTCTTTATGTAATTTTCAGTGCAAAGTAATATGATGCAGTATAAACAGTAGGACAAAGTGGAGACTGAAAAGTGTTTAATTTGCCTGTTCGATCATCCTTATGAAATTTTTAGATGACTGAACACTAGCTTCTTTCTTCTGTTGATAAATGAGAATTTACTCTGCCTCAGCACACGCGAATTAAAAATGATAAAGTATATGAATACAATTACACTTCAATGGCAAACAACCCAAGGCTAAAGAAAGGCGTTCGCCATGCACCCCATGCATCGGCTGTCTGTCTGGTGAAAGACGGTTGTTAGGTGGCCTGCGTGTAACGTAGATTTCGTGACTGGAAATTTGTTCTGTGGTCCTTTTGAGATGATTTGCTTGAGTATGAATTTACGTAGTTTAGGCCTGTCTATAATTTGAGATACCATGGAGGTCATTCGATGCTCACGCTCATCCATCTCGCGTGGTTTGTCTCCACGTGCTTCTGTATTTCATTTTTAGCTCATCTTGCCATCTGAGCTGAATTCTTTCATTTGGGAGTTTGCAGGTCCTTCGGTGTCAATATCGTCACTGCCGAACCATCCATCGGTAATCCGCCAGTCGCGCGATGTAGTCTTCCTTCTCGATCTGCTTGCAGATAACTGAGAGCCACTTTCTTGTGCTTTCCACTTCACTTGACCTTTGCAGATGGTTTTGGTTACTATCTCCTTTCACTCAGGCCGAATGGGGCTCCAGATGATGGCTCTGTGACGCTTGGCCTCCTTGGAGTTTTCGTCGATAAGTTCGGGCACCTGTTTTCCGGCAGTTTTTCTCCGTACCAGGGAACTGTGTCTCGTCTTGTTTATTAATGGCAAAGTATAAGTCTCATCACGAGAACAGTCATCTTGTCGCAGATGCGGAGCTAGAACATAATTTAAGCTAATTTAGATATTTGAATTGCAACGACGAATATGACTTTTGCAACAGTGACATTACACCGTTTCGGAGAATGCCGTGATTTTTGACAGAGAACTAAACCTGTAGATATGATAGTCAACCAACGGGTAAAATTTATTGACCTGAGCGGCAGTGATTGTCATCCACAACATCGATCGAAACCCGTATGAGCAAAATATACTGACATAGATCATTGCACAGCATCAAACCATTAACGTTCTCAGTCCCCGTTGCATAGACTGTTTTGAATCAGCTTCCCCCTAATGCTCTTCTGGCTGTTTGAGAGTCTTTGCTAGAACTGATCTGCTATGGAAGCCTTTTTTTTGGAGAGTCTAACCCTGAACAGAACGCTCTGCGAATTCATGTGCAAATGGCGGTTGAATTTGAATTCAGTCAGCTGCGATTTTCTCCCGACGACAGGTCGTTTTAATGAGAGTCAGTTTAAGATTAAACGTGCCTTGATCTGTACTTAGCAAGTTACACTTAATTGAGTTTGTTTAGTTTTCAGTTAAGATTTTGATCCTGATTTATAATGTGCCAAATTGAAGGAAGCATGACGGTTTCAGATGAATAACTTTTTTTTTAAATCGTTTTAGTGAATTTTCATGAATGTATTTCAAAAACATATTTTGCATATGCTGTTAACTGTTCATTTTTGTCGAATCTGTAAGTAAATGGTTCCACCTTGAAACTTTCAGCAACCGCCTCCTGCATTTCGGAGAATGTGCGATACTGTACATCAGTTATCTACACTAAATTTGATTGTCAGGAACTATGATTGCAGTTGCGATGATGCAACGGATGGCGATGGCAGAGGTTTTTCTGAAAATCGGCGTCTCTTTATAGCTACAAGTCAAAGTTTCGAAAGCAGGAAAAGTGTAGAAACCTCGAAACGTTAGAAAATCATCTGCTCTTAAGTTTCAGTAAGTTTTTTTAACGCTCTTAGTGACTTTTGCTAAGGATTAAGCAAAAGGTATCAGGTTTTTGACTGCCTACTTCGTATTACAGATTAATTGGTTGTCAGTGGCGAAATCTAGCTATGCACGTGTTTTGCACGTTCGCTACAATGCCGTTTGATTTAAAATTTCTGCGCGGGTGGTTTGACGTAATGGCCTGAGACTAAGCGTTTTTTCTTTTACGATAATTAATGTCGACAATGGTTTTGCTTGTCAGATGAAATGTACATGAGCTGGATTCGGATTACGCGTTGTAAGAGAGGTAAATAAAGTTGTATATAAAGTTTGTAGCAGATGGAATGTTACTCTTCCTCGCACGTTCATGATGGGGCCATTTCTAGCGCTCGTCTTTTCACACAGTTCATGATGGAGTGTTGCTATCGGCCTGGATCGTTTAATTTCAAAGGGAGACGGCAGCAGCAAGGTCGAATCGTGTGTAGTCTCCAGTTTCTTTTCCAAAAGGTGGCAGTCATTTTCTAACCTCAGATGGAGGATTGACGAGGGATTCCAACCGATGCACGAACTCGCGACCTCTTGATTTTGAGTCCGACGGTCTGAGACGGACTGAACATGCCCAGTTTGAAGTTAAGTGTGATAAATTCGTTGTTCAAAGGGATTAGGTACGAATTTTCTTCGGTGGAATAGAATCCAGCATCTTCTATGCCCCCAAGCCTACGCATGGTAGTTCGCTTCAGTCACAGTGGTCTAGCACAAGAATGGCGACAGTTTCCGATGTCGTGGTCCGAAGCCCATAACTGTTGAGTTCAGGACCTTTCCTATGGGATTCTGAAATTGTCGCTATTCAACAAATCAGAACAATGTAGCTGAAGAACTTTCTGGTGCAGTCCAGTACTTGTTTCTGTATATTTTTTGATGTCGACCTCGGCTGAGTAGACTTATCACTTGGTCAGAATCTTATTCTACAATTTTCGGTCTCACGCTATGCATTGAGACGAGTAAGAAATTTTAATCGTGCCTCATTACTGAATTTCATCCATTGAATTTATGCCAAAATTTCAAGGCTATTGAAAAGATTTCATGACTGCATTGTTTGAACTTTAGGGCCTCTTATTTTGTACGAATAGAGGTCTCAATCATTACTTCGATTCAATGTAACTTAAATTTGCCTTATTTGCTTGTAAGACCACTGTTTCAGTTTCTTCACACAGTTCACTGCCATAAAAGGCGATTTTTCACGCTAGTCGTAACGTAGCTG